GCCTCAGTCCTATGCTGGGATCTGGAAGATTCCTCCACCCTGACCTCAGTCCTATGCTGGGATCTGGAAGATTCCTCCACCCTGGCCTCAGTCCTGCCCTGGGATCTGGAAGATTCTTCCATCCTGGCCTCAGTCCTGCATGCCACTGGGAGTGATGCTGACCCATCTCTGAGCTTTTTCTAAGTCTCTTTCTCACCTGTGCAATGAAAATTTGAATGCATACTTTGTTGTTACTGTTTTTTACAGAATCTGTAAAATGAGCTTTCCCATATGCACCAAGAAGTAGACTGGATAACGGAAAGCTGCTCTGGAGGAAGCAGGGTGAGAGTCAGAGTCTGACGGCTTCTCCTTCTTGACCCCGAGGCAGCCGTGGAAGCTGGCCATGGAACTCCAGGCTTCCCAGAAGAGACGCAAAACAGCACCCCAGGAAAGGATGGCTCTGATGCCCTCTGCAGCCTTCACCTTCTAAGACTCTGCCTCTCCAGCCCTCAGTGTCCTTGTGGCACTGGTGCAAGGGTGTTCACAGGTCAGGAAACTCTTGGGGTCATTTTTGCATGTTTGACAGGGCAGTGATACATCATGACTCATTACTGTAGGGTCGTAGAGAAAGAAACAGGACATCGAGAAAGAAATTCAGCAGGAGGGAGCTGCAGAGCAGTGCTGACAGCATCTCACAGTTCTGAGTGTGCAAGTTGCTTTTCCACTGATTAGCTCCTTGAAGCCTCACCGTGATCCTGTGCATTATCCCCACTTTCCAGGTGAGGAGACAAATGTGAGACTATTGAGCAGCCTAAGCAGTTGGCAGCAGAGCCAGGTGTTTGGATTCCACGCCTACCGCTTTTTCACGGTCTGTATCACAGCTGCTTCTCTTGACTAATATGCTGCAGATCAAGTCTGGGAGGAATAAAGAATTGACATCCAAATAGCTATAAATCCACAGCGGGACAGACAGTGTATGTTAGCATCTAAAAGGCTGCAGCGGTGGCAGAGGGAAAGCTGAATGAGGTGTTCACAAGCCGTGGTTTCCTCTCATTTTATAAAGGGTTTGCTTGTCAAGCACCATCTGGAAGATGATCTGCAGCCACTTCCCCGTGATGAATGGAGACGCGCAGAGGCAGGTTCCAGAAGAGCAGCATATATATACGTCTTTGTTCAGTGATGTCAGGTGCAAAATTGAGTTGTTTAAAAACTTGCTCTCAAACAGGCACAGAAGTCCTGCTACATGAAGGTCACATTGAACTTGGACAAGCCAAGATGTAAGATTTTCAGCTAAAATTATAAGCAAACATGCTTTGGGGGAGATATTTAAAAAACCTTTTGTGGTAATGTAAAACAGATACAGAAATCCACTCAAATCAAGTGGAGAGCTGGATAAATTTTATTTGAAGGTGAGGGTGCTGGTAACCACCCTCTCTGATCAAGAAATTCAATTTTGCGGCTGGGCATCTGTAATCCAGCACTCTAGGAGGCTGAGGCGGGAGCATCCCTTGAGCCCTGGAGCTTGAGACCTGTCTAAGCAAGAGCAAGACCCCATCTGTATCAAAAATAGAAAAATGAGCTGGGTTTTTGGTGGCTGCCTATAGTCTCAGCTACTGAGGAAGCCGAGGCAGGACAATTGCTAGAGCCCAGGAGTCTGAGGTTTCTGTGAACTGGGCTGATGTTATAGCACTCTAGCCTGGGCAACAGAGTGAGAGTATGTCTCAAAAAGAAAAAAAAAAAAGGAGAAAAAAGAAATTAAATTTGCCAGCTGCCCCAGAATTGTCTTCATGTGCCGAGACCTGATAACAAACCAGTCTTTCTCCTCCAAGGCAGTCACTATGTGACTTGCAGTCATCCCTTCCTTTCATTTCTGTATAATTTGATCCCTCAAGTATGGATCTCTGGACACTACATCCTGTCCAGTAAACATTTTAATGTCTTTGGAGTCTCTTTTCATTTACAAGTTTCTCTTCCCTATAAAGTATCTATCGAAGATCCCAGGCCGTGTGGTCTGGAGTTTGCTGAGCACAGCCTCTTGGTGTGGCTCAACATGTTCTCCCGTCTCCCGGTGTCCTGCAGACTGGTGGCTGGAAGCAGCCCCTTTGCAGGGTGTACGGGGTATGTTCTTTCCTCAGGGGGCGCATCATGTCTGCTTTCCACTCTTCCTGTGTCAGCGTCCACTTGTAAGAGGAGAAACAGCCTCAAAGCTCCACCCCCATTTGTAAAAGTTACTTGATGATCTAACTAGTTGCCAGACAGTCCCCGCTCCCCGACTGTGAAGGTCATCCCTACCCCGGGCTGAAGAAAAAACAACAGATGGAACATGCACAGATTAGAAATGTGACAAAGAGTCCTAAGGTAGGGATTAGCAGGCTGGATGATGTATAGCTAAAACTAGCAACTGTGGGGAGGGTGGGTGTAACAACTCTGTAAAGTTCTGTCAGAGGAAGGAAGACTTTGAGAAGGATCTCCCCGACTTCCTGGGATTCCGAATCTTGGTGATAAAGGAAAACTTTAACCAACATGAGTGTCTGGCTTTTGCTCCTGGATCTGGTGTCCCAGTTATATGCCGAGACTCTAGGCCTGTGTTAACTCAATGTAATTTGCAAAATTTTAACCCAATATCTCTTTTTCAATTATTGGTTGTCATATTACCATAAAAAGATATTTCCTCTCAACTACCATCTGGTTTTCAATGATATACTTTATATAAGAAAGATTAGGGCTGGACATGATGGCTCACACTTGTAATCCCAGCACCCTGGGAAGCTGAGGTGGATGGATCACTTGAGCTCAGGAGTTCAAGACCAGCCTGAGCAAAGGGAGACCCTGTCTCTACTAAAAATGGAAATATTAGCAGGGCATTGTGGTGGGTGCCTATAGTCCCAGCTACTCGGGAGAAAGGCTGAGGCAGGAGGATTGCTGGAGCCCAGGAATTTGAGATTTCTGTGTGCCATGATGTCATGGCATTCAACCCAGGGCACAGAGTGAGACTTTTTCTCATTTTCCTTTCTAAGATGATGAGTTATTTCCCAATCATCCTCTGAGGGCAATCAATGAGTTTTAAATAATGTAATTGTGAACTTACGGATTTAAACATACTTGATAGGTCTGACTGTATTACAATGAGTAGTCCTATCAACACCAAACTTCTTCTGTCTTTAGCAAGTAGCAATACCTAAAGTCAGCTCCTGAATCCTTTTAGCTTTATGCTAGTGTGGGGGTCCTCAAACGTTTTAAACAGGAGGCTAGTTCACTGTCTCTCAGAGCATTGGAGGGCCGGAGGTGGCTAAGCAGGACAGGCAGTGGCTGCAAAAACACCCAGCGGGCCGGATAAATGTCCTCGGCGGGCCGTATGTGGCCTGTGGGCCGTAGTTTGAGGACCCCTGCTCTAGTGACTAGAGTCTAGTCATTTGCTATGTGGGCTGTAGAGGCTGGAGTTTTATGACCATAGCACCCTGGGAGGCTGAGGCAGGAGGATTGCTTTAGGTCAGGAGTTTGAAACCAGCCTGAGTAAGACCCCCCATCTCTACAAAAAGTACAGAATAAAATTAGGACCATAGTCTAGGACCTTGGGATGTTTATTGCCACTGGGTTGGTCATTGTCTGTAGACATTTTCAGTAGACAGAGCTAAGAAACAAGCAGAGTTAGCTATATGAATAGACAAAATATCTCATGAATTTATACTCCCTATTTCCAATTCAAATTCAGGATTGCTGGGTTTTTATGCAGCCTAGCCTCTATTACATCTCTCTTCCCCTCTACATTGAGAATCTTGTTCTCAAGAACACAGGGACAATAGAATTAGAATAACCCATAATCTCTTTTTGGCTTAATCCTGTATTATGTGTGTTATCTCTCAGTAATAATAATACTATCACAATCAATTAATTACTAAAAGCAGTTAAAGCTTTTTGCATTTGTTCTCCCCATTCAACTCATTTTTAAAAATAGCCACACTATGTCCATACTGTCAGAGCATACAACCAGCATGCTTTTTTGTTTTTTTCGAGACAGAGTCTTGCTCTGTTACCTTGGTTAGAGTACATGCAGTGGTGTCATAGCTCACAGCAACCTCAACTCCTGGGCTCAAGTGATCCTTCTACCTCAGCCTCCCAATTAGCTGGGACTACAGATACCAGCCACCACATCTGGCTAATGTTTCTATTTTTAGTAGAGACAGGGTCTCACTCTTGCTCAGTCTGCTGTCAAACTCCTGAGCAGAAGCAATCCACCTGCCTTGGCCTCCCAGAATGGTAAGATTACAGGTGTGTGGCTCGGCACCTATAGCTCAGTACCTATAGCTCAGTGGCTAGCGTGCCAGCCACATACACCGGAGCTGGCAGTTTCAAACCTGGCCCGGGCCTCCCAAATAACAATGACAACTACAACCAAAGAGTGACCAGGCATTGTGGTGGGCGCCTGTGGTCCCAGCTGCTTGGGGGAGGCAAGAGAATCACCTGGGCCCAGGAGTTTGAAGTTGCTGTCAGTGGTGATGCCATGGCACTCTACCTAGGGCAACAGCTTGAGACTCTGTTTGAAAAAAAAAAAAAAATTACAGGCGTGAGCCATTGTGCTTGGCCAATACTTTCTTTTTAATGCTCAATTGGTCTTTTAAAAAATAACAGCTTTATTGGAGCATAATTAACATACCATAACATTTGCTCTTTTAAAGTATATAATTCATTGGTTTTTAGCA